AACGAATGTTACAGTATCCACTGTAATTGTCCGCTAGTAAAAACAGTTTTATCAGTCATTATTATCCGTGTACGAACCAGCGTAAACAGATAATGTTACCTCACGAAGTTAGCCATCAGTCTCCTTGTTTACGTTGAGCATACCAGCTTATTTCTGGTTCAAACACATATGGCTTAATTAAACCAATATTTCCTCTTGCCATTGCCATTGTATCGCGTTTACTACAGTTCAGTTAGTGGATCAGGAGGCGCTGGCTCATGGCTGGCTGGTGTGTGACTGAGTGGAGGCGGGGCTAATTTGCCTATTCATATATCCGCGTATAGTAAATGAGGCAAGGGTGTAGAGTTGCATTCAAGCTATTTTAAGGCATGAGAAAATTATTTTCACAAGAAAAAAACATTTAAATATGTCATTTTGATGATCAAAGATGAGTTTTAACTACTTTAACTGAGATTTTTGACTACAGGGGGACTAAGAAAGAAACCGGATGCGTGTCGGTATTACGTCCGTGCATTTGGTCTTTGAGATAGCAGCCCATTAATACCTGCTTCTGTCTGCTAATCAAACAACACCACAGCTTTAACAAAGATGAATCTGTATTTAACTTATGCAGTGGGCACTGTTGTGCTATTTTACACTTAATTATTACATTTCTGCACCTGAATGCTACTGTTACTGTCTTTATTTGTAACTGTGTTTTATTGTATTCATCTATGCTTGTAATTTGTGTAATTATTCTTGTTTTATTACTGACTTTATTAGTTAAGCTGGTAGTTTTTGCTGCAGTATAGAAGTACTTAAAGTAAGTTTTCAGTAATAAATAAGCAAACTTTTTTTTTTTTTTTTTTGCTGATCCGAAAAATATTTTGTGATCCGTTGCACCATTAACGTTTATGTGATCAAAAATACAGTAAAACAGTAATACTGTGAAATATTCTAACAATTTCAAGTTGTGATGATGGTCAAAAAACAAGCCGATTTGATGGTCAAATAACATTTCTGATTATTATCAGTGTTGAAAACAACTGCCTAATATGTTTTAAGCTTCTTTAAATGAGTAGAACGTTCAAAAGAACAACATTTGAAATGTAAATCTTTTGTAACATAAATGTCTTTACTGTCAAATTTGCTGAATAGAAGTATTAATTGCTTTTAAATGAAGTTCAGAGACAGCTCTTCACTTACCAATAATTGTCTCCACATATTCTGAATTGTCACTGACGTTGAAGAGATCTCCAGCACCCAGTGCGTAGTTCAAAGACTCCTCAAAAGCTCCGAGGTGGTAAAACACTTTAGAAGCCACCAGCGCAGCAAACTCTCTGCTACAAAACGTCTCATCCTCATACAGGACCTCACTGACGGAGAAAAACTTAGTTCATCACTTCACTGGCATCTAAACATTCATATGAAATTGTTCATCACTTTTACACTACAATGGTATTATTGTAATGATAATATATTTCTTCATTAAAAATGTTTTTTTAAGGATTTTTTTTAACAATAACTTATTATGATTATTAATTACAAATATTTACACTTTAATAGTATTATTACTACTAATTACTCATTTTTACCCTTATTGTATTTTTGAAATAATATTTCTTCTTTTAGCTTTATGACTTAAAAAATATCAAATGAAAATAACTGAATGACAATAAATTATCATTAATAAAATTATAAAAGTAAATAAATAAAGAAACATAATACTGTTACAATAATACTACTGTATTGTAAAAAGACAAGCAATTAATAACAAGAAGAATTATTACTATTCACAATAGAACGTTTTATTTAAATTATTATATATTTTAAATAATAATAAATATATTACTATTCCAATAATGCTACTGTCCTGTAAAAAAATACTCAATTATTGTTAAAATTACAAACAAAAATATATTACTATTTCTTTCCTATTGTAGTATTACAAGACAAATTCAAGTAATTATAGTAATTAGTAGTAGTATTTAAATTGTATTTTTACTTTTAATTTAAATTTAATTAGAAAATCACTATAAAATATCACTAATTTCACTATTACTATATTATTACTATTGTACAATAAAATTGAGCATTTAACAATAATAATCTTGTTTACAGAACAGCTGTAAAATTACATTACAATTGTTTCCCTCAAGATTCATGCTGTTCACATGGGGTACACTTTACATTAAAAAAATAATATATATATACAGATGTCCAACATGTGCTCTGATGTCACTGAACATTTCCATAGAAACCACCTAAACAATCTTTCACACAAACTTTTTAAAGGGACATTACAGTGTTGTGGTGGAAATGACACCAATACTGTGCGACAGCTATATTTTGTATAGAAAGTAATATTGATCGTGGTCTCACATTAAATACTATTATGTATTTTAATTATTTTACTAGTGCTTAATTCAGGTACATTAATAGTTACCAGATAAGTCATATTTTTAAACTGTATTTTCATTGTTGAAGTTTAAAAGTCTGGGTGTGCGACAAGGAGAAAACAGTGATTTTGACACCTATAAGGAGGTTGAAAAGTATGAAAAAATCATAATAGAAAGGTAGTAAAAAGTTTTTAAGGTGGTTTTATTGTTAGTTTGACTAAGAAAGAGGAATTTGTCCAAAATTATATGTATTTTTATAAATATGACCAAAGAACATAAAAGTGCCCATAGTCTAAGAATCACCCATATATAAATACATATACATATATCACACCCCTGCTTAAACAGGTTAGAACATCATTTAGATGAGTTCATGGCAATTTTATGTGCAATTCTCTTCTAAAACAATCAATGCTACTTACATTTTGTCTACAGACTCTGAAATCTCAGCCCAGAAGTCATTGACAATGGAGTTTAGTTTATGTAGAGCAAACTCCTTTAAAAGAAAAACACAAGATTGTTAATGCCACCTCAGTATAATAAGCCCTGATGTGTTTGACAGAGCTCATCTGTACCTTGAGCTGCGGCTCGTCTTCATCCAGGAGGGAAATGATACCAGCTGCAAAACAGCAAAAACCCATCAGTATACAGTCTTCTCTAGCTTTCTATCCGCCTGTCTGTCCTTCCATCTATCTATCCGCCAGTTATATCAGTCTCTTCTATGTGATGTTTAATGACAGTGACATGACAGATCTGCTAAAGAACAACCTCAGACACCCGTTTCAGTCACAAATAACATATGCATGGCTTTTTGACATATTTATGCAGTAAAAACAATACTGAGACACATATAACACGTCACAATTTTAATAAATCGCGCTAATTTCTTACTTTCGGTGGCCGATGTAAACAAACCACTGAAGTCAAAGTCATTAGAAATGACATTAGCAAACAGTTACACTATCACCACTGCTTTTAGGCGCTGAAGTAGTACATACAAGAGTACATTTATTAGCAGAAAGCACAAATAACGTCGTAGAGCTCGTTAAAGTCTCAGATGAGCCGTGTTAGCCGTTAGCTGTGTGACTCAGCTAAATCAAACGCGCTCTTTCGTTCACTCACCGGCTGAAGTGATCATGTCTGTCTGTGACTGTCACCCGATCTCCTCCAGCACAACGATTTAAACACACGAACAGTGAGAAGAAGAATAAAGTCTATTTCACTCTCAATGAGGAGCGATCGACTGCTATTACACAGCAGCAGCAGCGGCTCAAACTCATCTGACAATGAGCGCTTGTGCGGGACGCGCCGGAACTCTGCCTGAAGATATCACTTGCTGTTTGGTGTAAAATCACATACTGCGGAATACATGGACGTGGCAGTTAGCAGATGTTATAAAAGTATTCTTTAATGGGTCATAGCAATTATTTTTAAATGAATATTTTAGTTGGGCAAGAGTAAAAAATAACTGTTTCTAGACCGGCTTTGAGGCGGTCAACCCTACAGCGGCTCTTCTTCTCTGCAGTTCGGAGAAGAGCATTTGAAGCTGCTGGTTTATCTGCCACTCGGTGGTCAAACATGCAGAGCGAATTCATTTCTGTTTTTTAAATCTGAAAATAAAATAAAATGAAATAACATCAAATAAAATAAAATGACAAAATAAATGAACAAAATAACAAAGTTAAATTAAATAACATAGCATAACATAAAATAAGACAACATAAAATAACAAAATAAGATAACATAAAATAACAAAATAAAATAACATAAAATAACAAAATAAAACAAAAACATGGAAGAAATTCCCGTTTTTAAATCTCAAATAAAATAAAAACATGGAACAAATTCCTGTTTTTAAATCTCAAATAAAATAAATAAATGAATGAATGAATGGCAACTTTTTATCTCACAATTCGGACCATTTTCTCTTAATTCTATAATATCTATCGTGCCGTAAAGTTTCCATAGGACCAAATAAAATTAGAATAAAAAATGTCAGCCTGCAGTACGTTTGTACATTTATAGTGTTGATTTTAGTTATTTTAATAATTTAATTAGATTGTTTTAATTGAACTTATTTCCCCCCGTCCCCTGGTTGAGAACCGCTGTTTTATAAAGTATCCTGTAGGCCTATTTTACGAAGTGAAAAACCTCTCCAAAACGATTCAGTGCGTGAGTGATCCGTACGAATTATTCGGAATGAATCATGAAAAGAACCGACTCAAATGAATCACTCGTTTCCAATACATTGATTCAGTAGTTCGGATTGTAAACAGCCTGCAGAAAATGCCAAAGATTTTGTTGTAGCCAATTCTGTAGCCACGAAAAAGACGACAAACACTGAAAACAGTCAAGCATGTACGTCCAGTGCATGTTTACATAGAAAATCTATGAAAAGGTACAGCAGAGGAATGCAAAAATGCGTTCTGTGTGAACGACAAGTCATAAAGTATGACCGAGGTAGCCTAATGTAAACTCTTCCGTTTTAATTTATTCACCAATATGTCTTGTATAGCACTGAAAACGTTTTGAACAGCTAAAATGAATTGCATTTCTTGTTTTCTTCAGAATCACATGAAGGACTCCTGCTTGAAGTACAAAAAACCTCCTCATTTATTGGTCAGTCGATGCAACAACTTTGAATTTCTTTTATTCAAAAACAACAGCTGATACAGTAGTCAATCACAGTGCTCAGGAAATGTCACATTAGATTGTTTAATACTATTTAATACTGTTTAATACAGTGTGTTACTGTGATAGTAGTGATATATCCTTCTGAGATAACACAAAATGCATCATGTGTAATGCTCTAGCAGACTTTCATTGCCTTCATCTCTCATTTCTCCAAATCTTCCTGACTGGTAAGTCATAGTGCAAGAGTATACGACCTGCGTAGCACACAGGCACACAGTTTGAGGCTTGTTCTTCATCCATTTTTGGTCTATCTGCAAAGCCGGCATGGTGTCAATCTGTTGTGGGCCGCATCTGCAGTGGAAGTCCTTCCTCAGTCGCATGTGGATTGGCTGGAAGAGTTAAGATTGAGCGATTAGTTGATAGTGAAACAGGTTTGGGTCTGAATGCAAAAGAACATCCTCATACCTTGCTGCCAACTATTAGTGTTTACGTCAGCCTGTCCTCTGTGCGTCTTTCTGAAAACTCCCGGGAAGCATTTCAGTGGCCAAAACAAACTGCTTTTACCGCCAACGGCGCTATCTGCAACATAAAGAGCCATTGAGAAAGGACTCATTAATCGCATTATTTCTTTCTTCTAGGGGCCTCGATTCATTATAGTCTCCCAAATCATGCAATTCAGCCAGAGTTGTGACCTACACAGTAAACCAAAAGCTGAAAAAACGCTAGATGGGCAGCACACTCGGCTATCATGCCACAAACTACTGTCTAGATAAACAGCGCACTGTATTTTTAGGCTATTATGCTAAAAAGGCTGGTGTTTTATGGCAATGATACCCCACAATGCTGTCCAAGTAGGTTCCTCAGGAGGTTTTTAGAAGATAATTGGCAAAAATGCTGTCTAGCTAGGAAGCGAGAAAACAAGCCCGTCCAGACCACATAAGGAGGTCACCATGATGACCAATGGCTAAGCAGTTTCTGAAACCAGAATCGTACGCAAACGTACAATTTTTGTGCAAATGCATGAAGGTCTAGCCCTAAAGCTAACCATCAGTGGGGCGTCAGCAGATCTACGAAGATGTATTAATGAGATCGTACGAATGCATATGAATTCTCGTGTTTTCGAATGCAAGTAAGCGTTCTGTGTGAATAGCCACTCATGCGCGAGATGCTTCAAAAGTCGCGACCAAGGTGATCAAACGTGTACGTTTATAGGAAAAACAATGGAAAAGCAGTGGGGCGAAATGCGGGCAAAAAAAATCGATTTTTTCGATTAATCGTTTTTTTAAATGACATCGATTCGATATCGTGTTTTATGCCTTCATCTGATTACCAGAAAAATTAAGAACATTTTATAGGGCCCTACTATTGTTTAAAAAGGACCCTATACAAAAAAAAAAAGAATAGGTTTAAAATACAGGCATGTGGTTCTTAATTTCTTTTTATTAATTCACCATTTGTAAACTGATGTTTACTGTTCATTTTTTAGAAATATCAATAGCATTTGTATTAAAACTATATTCACTGAACGTAATAAAAAAAAATCGAGAATCGAATCGGGATATCTGAATCGATACCCAGCCCTAGCGAAATGCAAAAACATGTTGTTGCTATTAAAAACGCAACATGAGGGGGAGTGGAATTAAAAAAAAAAAAAAACGTTAAAGGCCCATTCAAACCAATGACGATAACTAAAACGATAACGATGAAGGTTTAATTATCATTCTAAATCTGTGAGGGGAAGTTCACTCTACAGCTATACAGATAACGACAGATACTGAGAACAATATTGTTTGAATCACTTTCAGTGTTTTTTTTTCAGCTGATGAATGATAAAAACTTTGACAGCCAATCAGAATTCAGTGACTTCGAAGAGCTCAAACATTTAAAGTGGTAGACGGCAAAACGGCAGGGCGTGCTTATAATACACAGAACGATATTGCGCGTTGATGTGGACACTAATATAATTATCATTATAGTTATCTTTGTAGCTATCGTGAACAGTCTATAAAGATTTGTTTTTTTTTTTATTGAAGTTCAGTGCTGTTTTTAGAATGCCAGTACATGTGTACAATGCTGCAAAAAGACACAAGTGCGATGGTTAAACGCATTAAGTGTACATAGAAAAACTATTTTACAATTTGGCGAATTGATTCGTACAATCTCAGTCGTGCGTTTATCTGCTTACGCCCCACAGACAGTTAGGTTACCGGGTGGGGTTAGGGGCGCTCCATCATGTTTCCTTTTTTCTAAAAAATCATAAAATCATAATCACATCATACAAATTCGTACGAAATCGCCTTGTTGCGTTTTCACATGAAATCATGTTGGAGTGATGCCCAACAGAACAGGAGTCCACTGGCTTGGATCTCTGACCTGCAGACATTGAGCACGTCACAGCCCTGCAGGTGTTCCACCTGATCTCCTGCAACACATCCGGGGACTTTGTGACGTAACGTCCGGTCCATATGGCCTGTGGGGGGTGGTTAGTGAACACTGCTCGCAGTGATCGATCCAGTAACTCCACTGAATCGCGACTCGCTGATTGATCACAGTCGGTGTGAACGAGTCCCAGCAGAGCAGGACGGAGCGCGTTTCTCTTTATCCGCGCTCTCACGTCCTTCAGGATCTCCCTCAAACACACCTGATTCTCTTTATCACACGCATAATCGTGTTTGAAGAGGAATATGATCACGGAGCATTTAATGGCTCTCTGCTTTCCGCCGATGATTCGGCTTGAGCTCACGGTTTTGTTCTCGAGTGGATCTGGTTTCTCGCTCTTGCGGTGATCGGATGAACTCGGTTCGGATCGATCTGTGTGCGATTGGTCAGGGCTGCACACGTTTGTTTGGCTTTTGATTTCGCCGTTGCTGTTGCCGGTGCAGTCGCTGGTTTCTTCGCGCTCCCCGTTATTAAACATATCAGCGATGAAGTCTTGTAATGCGCCGGTGTCTCCATCAGGTCCTCTCACAGCGCTGATTAAATGAATGTTACTTTTTCCACCGATTTGATGCAGAATTTGTTGGAATGGATCATCTCGCTCGCTTTCTGCAGCCATTACCGTCTTCACCGGACACCTCGTTTATTTCTTTACGATAAGACAAAGTTGTCGACACACAAAACTTATTTGAAAAGCTCACTCGAGAGTATTTTGACGGCGAACTCTCGCTGTTACAGTGTCTCTGGCTCGTGTGTGGGCGGGGTTTATTTACACAAGATTGACAAGCTCTCTGTGGAGGTGGAAGCGGTACGTGTCTTCTGATTGGCTGAGCATGTGCGTAGGCGGGGCTTATGCACACATGATTGACAAGCTAGTCGAACGCGTTAAAGAGGTGAAGTTCCTCTGATTGGCCAAGCCCATCTATGGGCGGGGTTTACGAGACGATAGCGTTGAAGGTGAAATCTTTATATTTTTATGATTATTAAGTACTTTTTATTTTGTAAGTTCCTCTTAATAGAATTTCAACAGTGATTTCAATTTAAATAGTAACTATAAATAACAAAATAGAGGGCTATCAAAATCTCCGATGTCTTTTCATTGTTTTTTTGCTCTTTGTTTATACAATCTATGGTTTTTCCTCAGTATTTTGAAACATATATATAGCCTATACACAGTGTAAAGAGTCTGGATTATTTAGATTAGTATGGCATGGTTTTATAATTTGTATTTATTACATTTACATTGTTACTATTTAATTTTTCCTTAATTAAAAACTTAAAATAAAATGTCAGCCTTCGAAATCTCGATATAAACATTTATATTTAAACAGCTCTCTTCTGAATATATATATATCGTTTTGTAATTAATGATAAACTGAAGACATGGGTAAACAGTCCTCCTGACCTTTAACCAGCTCTGACTATTTGCATTCTACTAAAAAGTTTTTTTTTTTTTATCAAATAAAGTATGATGAAATCACTGTAATCATTCGTTTAATCTGATGTGTAATGTTATCATGTTTACTATTCAATGTTCACTGTGTCAAATCCATTAACACATACTTAGTGATTTTAATAAAAGTCAGACTTCTGTCTGTAATAATTCCATTATTCAACTGCTCAATAGCATGCTGTGAAATACATACATTATAAAGTTATAATAAATTATATAGTAGGCTATTTATTGGATTTAATGGCAAAATATGGCAGTCTTGTCTTCTTAAAACTCTTATCCACTACTTCTAAGTCAGAGCAGATTGTGTATATTATGACTAAAATATGATGAAAGTTAGTCATTTAAATTACGGCAGATTTTCAGTATGAGGAAATTACTTTGAAAACGCTTCAGAGAAGAGGAGACGAAAAGCTTGGTGTGTTTATAATCAATACCTGTCATCTATATAATCTTGATGAATTAGAAAAGATCAGAAAGAAGGACAGAAAAGAGGTTACGCTTAGAAATAAAGAAACGTGAAACAATTTCAGTTACTTTGGTTTTTAAAACACACGTACATATGACCAGAAAATTAACTGATACTTCATTACCAAACACCTAATCATAAGAGAGCAATGAGTTTATTTAGGTTTCTTTGAATTTCCCATCGCTGACTCCGGTTAATCTGCATTTTTAACCTGCCAAGTAGTTCCACAAGCATTTAAACAATGAGAAGCATTTACCTGAGCTTTTAAACCTGCGGATTGTTACAAGTGTGACTTCGCTACTCCTACTTAGATGGACACATCTGGTGTGAGTTGTAGGGTTAAAGCTAGAAAGATAAAAAACGCACAAAGTGTTAAAGCCCGGTTGCAAAAAGAAAATGATGAGAAAGTGGATCTTAATACAGCAGTATTCTTTTTATTTACATAAAACTCAGGAACTAGAAACAAGAATAGAATAGCCAGGTCACAAGCAATAAGACAACTTGAAAGAAAACTCAGCGCTAAAATGGACCAATCAAACTAATAATCCAACTAATAAAAGAAATGAACTGTAGGTGTGAAAATCAATCAAACAATGAGTAGCCAAGGAAAATAACTGCAAACTTGGTCACGGAACAAAAACATGTGATACAACCACCTAAAACCAAAATTTTTAAATACATTTACCATTTATTTAAAATATTTCAAGTACTCATTTTTGACTTGTTGTCTTAAAAGACTTCTAGTTATCTAGCTAGTATAATGGTGCGTTCAAGTCATGTCGGACAGATCGTATTTACGAGTTAAACGCACATGAACGCCACCACAAAGTCGTTATTACGAGTGGGAAACTCGAAATTTTCTTTAAGCCCCGAGTTTCCGAGTTGGAGGTGTGTCAATGAGAAACATGGCGGAATCGATGGATGCAACGTCTGTAGTTGACGGTAAATTTTTGTTTAAATTGATAGTTTAGTTAAACTTAAATTGGTCGTGTTCTTGTTACGCAGCTAGTTAATGAAATCCAAGTAAAAAAAATGCTATCATTTTTGCACCTATAGGTGAAAAATCTTTTGATTTGCCATGTTGCATGTTGCATTTAGCTAACAGCTTTTTTTTTAATCTCTGTATTTTAGCGTTTGTTGATGCTAAAATTCAGTTATACTGGGATCTATAATTTTTTTTGTTACTATTTATAATAACTGTTGTCTATTTTAATGTATTTTAAAATGTAATTTAGGCTATTCCTGTGATTTCAAAGCTGAATTTGTAGCATCCTTCCTCCAGTCACATGATCTTTCAGCCAGGGTTATTTGTAAATGATTCATTGTTGCAATCACACTATTGTTCTAAATTTGTGATCAGTAATATTTTTTAACACTGTTGACAGAAGTCTTTCATGCTCACCAAAGGCTGCATTTATTTGATCAAAAATACAGAAAAATTGAAATATTATTGCAATTTAAAATGACTTTTCTATTTGAATATATTTTAAAATGTAATTTATTCCTGTGATTTCAAAGCTGAATTTTTACTATCCTTACCCCAGTCTCATGATCCTTCAGAAATCATTCTAATATTCTGATTTGCTGCTCAAAAACATTTATTATTATGTTGAAAACAGCTGAGTAGAATTGTTTTCGGGTTTCTTTGATGAATAGAACGTTCAGAAGGACATCCTTTATCTGAAATAGACATTTATCATGAAAGAGGGTGGGACGTTCGCTTTCAGTGCTATCAGGCTAAAGTTAACATTTTCTCCTACTGCACCTTTAAGTAACAGTCTTCGCGCCGCAACATCTTAAAGGCCTTTTCACACTGAACGCTAAAATTCAGCGCGCTGACGCTTTTGAATGAAACAATAGATCCCTATGGGGCTATTCACACCAGGCACGATCATGCGCAAACAAACAAGGGCTGTATCTGAAATATCAATTTAAAGCATCCTTGCTAAATAAAAGTATTAATTTCTAATTTAATCTAATCTAATTTCTCCCACCAAGCTTTTGAATGGTATAGTGTATAATGTTACAAAGGCTTTTTTTTTAAATTTCAGATAAATGCTTATCTTTGGATGTTTTTTTTTTTGTTGGTTCTTTCTATTCAGGCTAAAGTTAACATTTTCTCCTACTGCACCTTTAAGTAACAGTCTTCGCGCCGCAACATCTTAAAGGCCTTTTCACACTGAACGCTAAAATTCAGCGCGCTGACGCTTTTGAATGAAACAATAGATCCCTATGGGGCTATTCACACCAGGCACGATCATGCGCAAACAAACAAGGGCTGTATCTGAAATCGCACCCTATACCCTCATTCACTATTCCCTACATTAGGCCACTCATACAGTTCTCTTGAAGGAGAGAATGAAAACGAGCGAGTTCATTCGGACACTGAGTGCACCAGAAGGACTGCCACTTTTGCATAGTTTGTGCTTGCTGTTTAATAATCATTTGAAACTAGCAAATAGCTCCAGTTGACAATTTAATAATCAATTTACAATGAATTTACACTACCAGTCAAAAGTTTTTGAACAGTAGGCTAATATTCTTCATGTTTTTTAAAGAAGTCTCTTCTGCTCACCAAGCCTGCATTTTATCTGAAATAGACATTTATCATGAAAGTATTTATCATCACTTTTGATCAATTTAAAGCATCCTTGCTAAATAAAAGTATTAATTTCTAATCTAATCTAATCTAATTTCTCCCACCAAGCTTTTGAATGGTATAGTGTATAATGTTACAAAGGCTTTTTTTTTAAATTTCAGATAAATGCTTATCTTTGGATGTTTTTTTTTTTGTTGGTTCTTTCTATTGATCAATGTACTCAATGTACTTAACTTTTTTAAATATTGATAATAATAATAATAATAATGTTTCTTGAACAGCAAATCAGCATATTAGAATGATTTCTGAAGATCATGTGACACTGAAGACTGGAGAAATGATGCTGAAAATTCAGCTTTGATCACAGGAATCAATTACATTTTATCATATATTCAAATAAAAAGCAGTTATTTTAAAAAGTAAAAATATTTCACAATATTATTGCTTTTGCTGTATTTTGGATCAAATCAATGCAGGCGATTTTTTTTTTTTTTTTAAACATTAAAAATCTTACTGTTCGAAAACTTTTGACTGGTAGTGTATGTCTGCGTTGTATTGCGCTGTATTACGCCGTGGACGAGCACTTTGTAAAATGAATAGATGGATGATTCAGCTGCAGGCGCCATCTTCTGGCGAGATGCGGGAATTCATACAGTGCACGACTTTCACAGTGCATTATGGGTATTTTCTAGCCGCTGAGTGTGCACCAGTTGTACACTCGTTTTTGTGGAGCATTGTGGGATTGAATGAGTGCTCTTGAGAATGTCCACTAATATTTCAGACACCACTAAAAATGTCTGTCACCTGTTTTTTTTTGTTTTTTTTAAACTGGACGGAAGGGGCCGACCAATTAGATTTAAGCTTAGATCACGTGCAGAAGGCGATCAATTGTTTTGCGCTTGGTGTGAAAACAACATTCGTTGGCGATTCGCCTCGCGCTCAGTGTGAAACGGCCTTTAGGCTGTCTCCACTGGATGCAACAAAGCGATCGTTGCAAATTATTTGAACTTTATGTCAGTACATAATAACTAGAATGAGGCGACAGTTTACTGTCAGGGATTTCAAGTGTCGCATCACCCCGCGCCGCATCCAGACAGCATCACTGATTATAATAGTATAGTAGTAGTCGCGCCGCTCGCATCAGGTGTAGACATTCCACAACTTTGGGATTTTGTATAGATGTGAGAGATTTTTTAAATTATTCACACTGAAGGGAGCAGCAATTATATAATACACACAAAA